GATTTTAAAAATATTTTTTCACTCATTTTTCTGACCCTTCGTATGTATATTGATATTACAATTCATCGTTCTTTTTCTTTTTATGTCAATAAATATATATAGTTTTTCTCTATATTAAAATAACTAACCAAAATAAAAAGTTGTTTATTTTCTAAGGCTATGCTTTGTATGACGCCCGCTGAGTATGACGTGTTTGTCATTTCCTTTCCATTTCATTATAAGCCGATTCTACTGTATTTTATAATGAATTAACAAATTGATCGCAAATATGTGATAATTAAAGATATAAGGGGTAATAACAAGCTTTTGATCAAGAGGTTCGATGATTTTACCCTTACCCTTGTCCTTATCTGTTCTAGTTTAGTGAAGCTTTCCGTAAACAAGTTGCATAAAATGCATTTAAAGTTGTTGTTGTAATATTATAATGTAATAATATTGTGTTTTGTTGACCATTAGCCTTCACGATCATCCACAGGCGCCGCCAGGACAGTCAGTAGGAGACAATTCGACCTACTGAAAATTTTACGCTTATTAAAAGCATGTAGACGGGAAGCAACTAGGTATAGTTCAGACTTTCAACTTACTCAGACGCTAATAAAGAAAAGAGAGAGGAATAATATTGCACCAATTAATGTGTAACAGAAAGAGATGCAGACAAGTAGACTTTGAGCATGTTGTCAGCATCGGACTTTAAAGAAAATTCAATATTCTCGGGAATTTAGGAGTGCAAAGATGCTTGAAAGAATGAAAGGGTATGGATCTATCAGAGAACGTCATGTACACTATCCTTCCTTAAATCGACTAACAAAAATAAAGACAGACATATGATAGAAGAGAACTGTGGTAAAATAAATGACATACGACTGTAGAGTATAATTCGATAAACATTGAAAAAGGATAGCGCTATTCGCTACCAATCGCTGCTAGATAGAATTAGGGTATTACAAACTTAACAAGAGCGTGTACAAAATACTGCAAATGATTACAGTTCCAAGTACAAACAAGAAAGAAGATACGTCCATTCTCACAGATAATTTATTGCGGACTTTACCAATTTCAATCGTCCCAACTATAAGCATGGAATTATTGCCAGAACTCTCGTTAATAAGAAAAGAACAATTCCGCTTGAATAAAAACGTAGAGTTGTCACTTATATTACTTAATTATATCATACTTTGACCGTTTAATAATAATATTTTGCAGTAGGACAAAGAACACATAAAATTTACATACTGAAAAAAATTGGCATTATTAATTCAAAAAGAACAATTCAGCTTGAATAGCAGCATAGAGTTGTTACCTTCATTATATGATTATTTTGTGAGCGTTTATATATTAATATTTTGTAGTGGTAGGACCAGAAACACAAAATTTACATACTGAAAAAAGTTGGACCACATTTTCTGTCACTATCGCCCGGTCTAACAAGCACGAGACAATATAAATAGACGTTTTTAGAACTTTTTTCCTATAACTATTTAACGACTGAGTTGCGTAATCTCGGTTAGAAGTGATAGTCACATTCATTTCAGCTTGATTCTTTTACCGCTTGAGAATTCTTTAGGGCATGTACACTGATAATATCTAGAAAACAGTATTTTTATTTCATTAATTTTAATTTTAGCACAGTAATAACCTCCAGACAAATTCATTAATGTCTAAACTAAGAACTTTCGATCTTCAGTACACTAGTAAATATATGTAGGCTGACACGGCCGATGTCTGTTTTAGATAGTGTGATCAGGCTTTCTGGCCATTGTCTATGAAAATTCCTTCCCGACGTTTCGCCTTCAACTGCGATAGGCATTCTCAAGGGATAGGGACCATCCACCGAGCGACCTTCGAGATAAACCTACGAAAGCGACGACCACTTCATCACCCTTGAGAACACCTGCCGCAGTTGCAGGCGAAACGTCGGAAAGGAATTTCCATAGACAACAACCAGAAAGTCCGATCACACTTTCTACTTCAGTTCACAAACACAACTTCAGTTCCTTCTTTTATATTAGTCCATATATATAAGAAATATTGAATATAAATCATATAATAAAAAAAAATTAGTTGATAAATAAAAATTCAGCAAACATACCGGTTAAAATAATATCAGGAATACTGGTTGGAGTATTTGGTGCTGTATGCATAGTGGTAGGAACAGCAGTGGAGTAAACTAATTGAGATGGTGATGTGCTGTAGTAGCCAGTATCAGCAGATAATTCTGAGCTTCTTGGGGCGGATATTTCCGGAACATTATGTGAAGGCATTTGTGTCATATGAATATTTTTTGTATTATCTAAATACGGCAAATTATTGACCGGGCTCAAAGGTAGATCCGCCTATTTGAAAATATGGTGAATGAATCATTTTTTACTTGAAAAGGATGATTTATGATCCCTTACTTTTTCAATTTTAATGTGTGTATTCACAAGTCTCATACAAACAATTGTTACTGTAAAATAATAATATACAGTATAAATTCTTAAATATTTGATTAACTGTTTATAATCGAATATTCACGTGTAAATGACGTTCGCTAAGGCAGGCGAAAGCATGAAACGTAAAACAGGTAACATGAAATATGTATCATATAATAACAAATTACATGGGAATTCGCTCACAAGCTAAATTCTTTTAATTTATACCATAGAGAATCAAACTTTTAAAACTTCTTCACGTAGATTCTGCATTATATTATTGTTTCATAATTTCATATTTCGGGTTATTTAGTACTATTTTCATTAATACTATACAAAATGAAAGACGATCAAGAATTTATGTGATGTTTTCTTTTAATAATGTATGTTAAGTTTGTATTTTCAAATTTTCAAAACGTGCGTTTTAAATCTCTAGTTTGATGCCAAATTCGATATATAAATATTTGCAAATATTTTTCTATTTTTACGTTGAGTATTTTGTTTCTTATTATATTAGATTTAACGTGACAAAGCTGACCACGCCTCACTTGTCCAAATTTGATTACTAGTTTAGCAGCTACGAAAGAACAGATGAGTATTTACACACACACGTACATTATTTGCCAAACCCAAAATTAAATGAAGTGAAGAATAAGAACTTCAATAATAAAGTGTGTTATTTTGTTTGACCTACTGATATCCGCATTTGCGTCATCAGGTTTACGTCGCTGCTTTTACCAAGATAAAAGTGGATACCGTTACCGAAATGCTCAAGTCGATACGTTTGTAAATGTTTCCAAAGAGGCATATAAAATTACTTAGATTTTAAAGAATGATCATTTAATTAATTCTTTTTCTCCACCACATCATTTAAACTACCGTCCAACTTAATTGGGAACTGAAATTCATTTGACTTTTATTTCCTCAGCTAGTATATAAAACGTACATAAAAACAAATCATATTTCATGTTTCATGTTTACATTTTCCGTATTTCATATTTCATATTTCGCTGATGTGCAACTTATTTAATGCTTGCATACTAAAAGAACACGTAATGTTTATTAATTTTTATATTATATTTTTCAATATTTCAAATATCGCAGTATCAATTAACCTTGTGAGAACACAACTCAACCATAATTTCACATTACAATCGATCAACCTTCATTTGTTATGAAAACAATTCATGTAATCAATTTTTTATTTTATTATGAGAAGGCCAAAATTGAACTACTATTTTTCGATTGTATATGTAAAGTGAAATGTTATCTGAATATAAAAGTAAAAACAATGTAACTCACCACGCCCTTGATAGCATTCAAAATAAACTTAAGTAATAAGAAGCACTGTTTTTTAGTAGTATAACTCACCATAGAGAATTGTTCAAAATGTTGCTGTAATTGCTGTTGGTTGAGTAATGAAAAGTCATTCATAGTTACAGGAGTTTCAGGACTTAATGGACTTGGTGCTCCATTCGGACTACACGGCTCTGATATGCGACCAGTCAGTCCAGGAGAAGGTTGAGGGCTCGGCCGCGGACTTCGGTAACTTACTGTTTGTTGTAACTAATAATAATAATTCAGAATGGGTTATTTTGTATTGCAAAAGCAGTTTAGTGCAATTATTTCAAACTAAATCATTACTGATTAACTCAAGTGTTACTTATTATGTCTATTAAAGTTGTATAAAAAAAAAACTATGCACTTTATGTGTATTAAATAGTTTATCTGAAATTATTAACGATTTACCAGGCAAAATGTAATTAATAGCCCACAAAACTTCTAACACGTATGCAATACATACCGTTGGAGATTGAGAGTGTGACGGAACTGATCGATGTTTATATTGTTGTTCTTGTTCTCGGTACATTCCATCTAAATTACTTATTGATGCAAAATTTACGCTACTATCAATAACATCGCCAAATTTTTTCTCAAGTGTCTGAAAATTAAAGGATACATTAGCTAACATGAGTTCTTTCTAGTCAGTGCTAGAAAATTTCGAAAAGAAGAGAATTTATAGTTAAATCATCTTATAAATATTAACATATTTTTTGTAATAAATTGAATAATGTAGAGGTATGTGCGACTTTTACTTCGTTACTAGCTTCAAATTCTATTATACCCTGAATAATTAAAACTTATTTATTTTGACAATAGTAAAAACAATATCGGCAAATCTGTATACAAATTAACTAAGATAATTATAATTTTCACGGATTATTTATTTTTATTAGTATACAGGGTGAAACAAAAATAAGTGTGGGGTTCACAGGAAGTGATAGGGCACTATAAAACAAGAAAATTAAGTAAATGTATCTTCGTTTTTGATAAAAACCTAGTTGAAAGTACGGGTAAATGTAATTCAATCCCTGAAAAGAAATGGGATAATGCAACGCCGCATTCAATCGGTTGGTAATTACTAGGATCAGTATTGTGTTTTTATTATATTTATTGCTCACGTATTGAATGTTATTTGTTAAATTAGGTTAATTGTAAATGTTATTCAAGATGGATATGTTACAGCTGTTTATTATTTCAATGTTTAAGTCTTGTACTTAGTCAAACAAGGTGCAGTTCAATAAACTAATACAGCAATACAACAATAATTGGGGGTAGGTTAGTATATCACTGTCGAACACTTATTCTAACAATAATACCACATGTTACTTATTTATGGGATTAAACCGTACAGCTGTTGTAGAAGATATCCCTCAAAATAGTACACGTGAAACAGCAGCAAACGTTGGCTCCTCTCATATAGCACTGTGACAAATATTAGAAGCGAATGAATTTATATTAGCGGCTTCAAAGCAAAATGCTGTAGAGAGAGAGAGTGATGTTTCACGCGGGATGGAATTTTGAATTGCGACAATAATTACTACTGATGTTATGCAAATCCTCATATTATACATCCTTGCAATTAGGTGGACGTTATGTTATTTATTGAACTTGTATTTTTTCAAATAGGAATCATATGCTCGCATTCTATGGGTAAGCATTGAATTACGAAAATAATTTTTTGGTAGTTTACCCTTTGCATTTTTCACAATAGTTTCTAGTAGACGTCTATCATGTATATGATAATGATCACCCGTTAGTCATTTCAAAGTGCATGGTATTAATTTGAGTTTTCCTAATTAACTGCTGTAAAGTAGCTGAAGAAAAATACATGTTGAAATGCTTTATTCAAAGCAGTAACAATTGTGATGTGACACCAGAAACATATTACAATAGTTATCCATAATCCCCTATTATCTGAGCAGCTGAATAATCTTAAAATTGTAATTATTATATTAGCATTTGTTGTGTAAATTTTCAAATAGTCTTAAATTAGTTTTGATTTTTTTATTTTCGAGATCATCATCATCATCATCATTATCATAAGGTCGTCAGTCCTAAGACTGGTTGGACACGCAGCTCCACTCTTTCCTATCCTGAGCTAATCTCCGCATTTCCCTAATCCCATATCCTTAACTATTTGCGAACAGTAATCTAATCTTGGTTTATCTCTACCCCTCCTAACTCCCGTTTCTACCTCTAGTACGTTTCTGACTAGACCTTCATGCCTGAGGTGTCCTACCGACATATCTCGCCTACATATTTCTTATTGAATTCCATAGAATCCTCTGTTCTCCTATTTTTTCTAATACCTTCATTTCTAACCTTCTCTATCCACGGTATATGTTTCGCACCCGTACAGCGCCGCGCTCTAAACATACAGCTTCAGCAACCTTTTTCGAATTTCTAAATTAACCGTTTGCGAGCATATACATAATAGACATTTTTTCACAACCAGGTCCACTGCTACTAGAGCGACCGACGTTCGAATCATTAAGTGACTACCCTAAAAGAATGCGTTGTGAAAAGAAATAAACGACATGAAATGGTTGTATGATTTGCAACGCCAACTCCCGGACTATATATAGTTCGTAATTCATGTATACTTAATTAAACCTGTGGTAAATTAAATTGACTTAAGTGCCTTACTATTTTAAGTAACTCAAGCGCTAGTAGGCTACATATATTCAAATATAATTAAGGTATTATAATTTCTTATTATAATCTTTAAGTACAATAATTAATAAATAAATAACTCTCTGTGCAACTTCTAAGTTAATTTAGAATGCAAGATAAAAGGAACAAACCGCATTCCTTTGTAATTACATTGTTCAAATAGAAAAGATACTATATACATATTAATTGGTACTTACTTGATGTCGATTAATAAATGGGCTCGAGTATTGAAGTCGATCGTGAGGTCGAGATGCTGTTAGAACACTAGTTGGTGATAATTTTGACGGACTCTGAAATAAAATAGAAGGAAAGTTTAAAATGTAACTTGATTGTAAACTCATCGTCTCATAATAACATACATATATACAACAAAAAAGACTGAATAAAACGTATTTAAAACTCACAGAACTATATGGTGAAGTTCCATGTTCTTGATCTTCATCCAAAGGTGTGTGAATTGGGGATGGAAAATGAACATTTGTTAAATCTGGCAACGACCCAGTATTGCTACCGATAGGAATTTGTAACGAGCCTGGATCATGTGCAGAAGGATATACACTATACAAAAATAATGATCTTTCTATACGTTCTATATATTTCTTATCACTGTCACTATTGTATATTACTACAATATAATAATGTTCTGTATATCTACATGCGTTAATATAGGATTGTAATGATACTTTGTAGTGCTATTTGTCTCAAAATGCGACATTCTGAAATTAGCTAATCATCGAAACCTCTAATTAAAGGATAAAACTGTGGGTCACCTTAGACCTGTTTTCGATGTCTAAGATGCTGTTGCTTAATCGGAATTTTCTCTATTAAAAATGACCTTCATATCTTCAGGAATTTCGAGATATTTGCACCAAACGATCAACTGTGATTTATACAACATATTTACAAGTAGATAAAATCCTGCACTTTACATTTCCAGATATTTTATGCAAAAAAGTAGTTTCCACGTAACCGCCAAAAATAACTTTTAAACTTATTTTAATTTTTTTTTTAGCTAGAACTTGGTATGTACTCAGTAGATACGGACTTTTGACGAAGCTAAATTAAGATATGTATTAGTTTTTTTCTAAGGAACACGGCAAAGCCACTCTCCGAGCTTTCGATATCAGGTTATTGTTACCAAGCATTTTTGTCGCATAAATCAAATGTTTCAACTTACTAGAATAAAAGTGCCTGAATACATATAAAAACTGTTACAAATTAAATAACAACTGATCTTTTGCAAGTTAAAGTAAAAAAATCTAGAATCGTCATCACTTATTAAAGAACTAACTAAAGAATTACTTTTTCCGCAGAGTAATAACAGAAGTAAATATTTTTTCAATAAAAGCAGCCAGAACGGGGTGAAATGTTCTTTATTAATTTCGTAATCTCCACTGCCATTCGGTTCAAGGTTTTATCAAGGTAGTTCATTAGTTCATTAATTATATCAGACGGAGACATTAGAAATTCCTTGTATAATCGCCCGAGAATTTAATATTTGTTAGGCATTTTCATAAAAAACACAATCTCAAATTCATGATTTGTAAGGTCATATCAAACTTTAAAAAAAAAACTATTAAACTATTAGTTACGTGAGATGCAACATACTTTTTAAGTATTTGAGTAAAAGTATTTGAAGTACTCTATCCAAATGCACATAAATTACTTGTAATTGTATTTGAAATACTTTTCTACTAAAGTATTTAATACTTGTATTTGATTTTATTTGATTTTAAAAATATTTTTTCAAATACTTGTAATATTCTTTTTTTATCCGCAAACGATTTAGTAACAATTCAACCTAACAATATATGATTATGTATAAATTGTTTAGAAAATTGTTATAATTATTATAATGCAAATACATTTTCTGATAGAAAATCACAAGCTAATATTTATACATGTATCTAAATACTTTTAAGCAAGTATTTTTTACAAGTATATACTGGTCGTCACTCCTATAAGACTGATTGGACACACACCTCCACTCTTTCCTATACCGAACCAATCTTCGCATTTCCCAAAAATAGAACATCTTACATCCTTAACTATTTTCAAACAGTAATCTAATCTAGGTCTATCTCTACTCCTCTTAACTCCTGTTTCTGCCTCTAATATGTCTCTGACTAGACCTTCATGACTGAGGTGTCCTACCAATCTATCTCGCCTATTTCTTATTAACTACCACAGAATCCTCTGTTCCCCTATTCTTTTTAATATCTCTTCATTTCTAACCTTCTCTATCCACTGTATCCTCATCATTCGCCTGTAACACCACATTTTGAACGCTTCTAACCTTTTCTTTTCCGCTATACCCACCGTATATTTTTCGCACTCGTACAGCTCCACGCTCCAAACATACACCTTTAATAATCTTTTTCAAATTTCTAAATTAACCGATCGCGAACTGAGAAGTGACTTCTTTTCTTTGAACACGATTTGACCCTGCGCTATCCTCTGCTTTATATCCCTACTCCTCCTTCTGTCTCAATTTATTTAACTTCCTAGATACCGAAAATCAGTCACATCTTCTAATTTTTCGTCTTTTATCTTTATATTATTATCTCTGTTCCTATTTTTTATTCCCTTGCATACCAGTATTATTGTTTTACTTTTATTTATTTTCATACACTCCTGTTTTGTCAATAACGCTTCCATTTTATTTAAAGCTACCTCTAACTCCTCCTTGATAAATACTAATATTGCTATATCATCTGCAAATCTAAGCAAAATAATATTTTGTCCCTTATATCCATCCCTACAGTTGTACTCTTTAATAATGTTGATCGCATACAAATTAAGTATCAACCTTCTATCTCTGTAACTCATCCCTAAATTTTTAAGTATATTTAACATGTATTTAACATTGTCAAACGCTCTTTTTAAATCTACAAACTCTATGTACGCACTCTTTCCTTTTTCTATCGTTTTACTCGCAAATCTAGAATGGCCTCCCGCGTTCCTCTATTTCTTCTAAACCCAAATTGATCTTCCCCTAATAGTTCTTCCTCCCTTTTTCCATCCTTCTCTGTACAATTTTAGTTAAGATTTTTGACGCATGGGAAGTTAAGCTAATTGTTCTAAATATCTCGTACTTATCCGCGCCTCTCTTTTTAGTATTTTAGGTAAATTATTATTCATACAAATATATTTTTTAGGTATATTATTTAAGTGCAAATTATTAGAAAAAAACATTAATGTATTTGTGATTTTATACTTATTGTATATAAGTCAGAAGTATTTGTATTTGTATTTGAAATGCATTATGAATAATTGTATTTAAATACCTATTTAAAATCAAGTATTTACATTGTATACAGGTCCTCTCATGGTGACCGCTCATTAGAATATTTCAGAAACTAATTCAATTTAAATTTTGAAAATTTGGACAATTATAATAAAGGAATCACTATAGCACTTATATCGGACGTTGACATGACTTCGTTATTTTAAATAAAACACCCTGTATATTTCACGGTTTTGAATTATAATTATAATTTTAGGTAGACTTTCATGAGGCTTCCCTACTTCTAAAGTTTACCATTTTCGAGATATTCATTTTTCTTTAAGAAACCAACTCAGAGCAGTTAAAAGTGCGAAAAAGCACCCTTACTTTACAGTAAGAAAGCTGGAAGAACAATATTTTCAGAAGAGGTAGCTATACTCTCTAGCTTCCCGTCCATACTTTCAAAGTGGATTTACAAATAGTACAAGCTAATTGTTGTCACTCAAACATCCATACTGACAGTTTAGTAATTAAATATTTTGATTCTCAATGTCAGTTATAGAACATTATTTTCATTTACAATCAAAAATGAAAATACGTATTTAAATTAAGAATAATTTCAAGAAATTAATTGCTAAATGGCGCACTATAGATAACAATATAAAATATTCTCAATTTGAATAAGTACTTTTATTTTCCATTCTCCATAAAAATAATATTCAATAACTAACGTTGAGAATCAAAATATTTAATGACTAAACTGTCAATATAGGTGTTTGAGTGACAATAATTAACTCATATTATTTGTTTTGAAATTCTGGTAATAATTTCACAGTCATCTTCATGAACAAATAAACAGTTTTAGTTGATTTTACAAAGAACAGTAAGTAATTTAAAAACTAGAGGATAGAGAATCATAGTACTATTCGAAAGACAGTAAAATTCTGTATAAGGCTATGAAAATATACACAGGGTGTTCCATTTAAAAAAATTAACTTACGCTTTTTAGAAATTAACCAAATCGGCCACTAAATATCGATCACCCTATATGTAATTAACCCATTTTGAAAGTATGGACTGGAAGATTGAGGGTATAGCTATCATTCCTGAGAATATTGTTGTACCAGCTTTCTTACAGTAAAATAGGCATGCTTTTTCGCAACATACATAGAATTTAAAATCATCAATTGATAGATATGGTTGCATATTTGTAACTACTTTTTAATTCTCAACAACTTTTTTTTAAAAAGATCTATTTTCAAAAATAAAGGTAGTTTACTGTTACACAAATTTATACATGATCAAATATTCTGTTAGGTTGAATTGTTAAAAAATCGTTTGCGGATAAAAGATATCACAAATATTTGTAAAGAACAAAATTAAGCTTTGCTAAAATATGGTGAATGAATCATTTTTTACTTGAAATGAGAACCTGAAGTAAATTCGTAAATATATTACAATTGCGTATCTGTAAAATATAAAGTTTTCTTTGAATTATTACTACATAAAAAGGACGAGGTCAATATATTTTATTTTAATATTGTATTAAAAAGTTTTTACCTCTTTTGTGTATGCAGATATATACACTTACTTTATTCCAGGAACACGAGGTATTTCACAACTAGATCTTGGGCGACTGTAAGTTGTTTGTGGTCCATTTAATGTTTGAAGAATCCATCTACTATTAAAATTGTCATTTCGATCGCTAATTCCTGTACCCTGGTTAACAACAATAAATGTAATCAACGAAAATGTACCAGAAGAATACTTAGTTTAAAACCACTAGCAAAAAATCAATTGCTCTTGGAATTATTACACTTTAAATCGTTAATAACAGTCTAGTTTCTAACAATATTGTATTATATATAATATACTGAATACGATTTACATTTCATGCATCAAATGTAAATTTTTAAAGACATTTTTTTATCTATAAGTTTCGGCTGGTCCTATCTCCAACCGTTTTTAAGTACCAGTATTTTTGTTTTACTTTTATTTATTTTCATACACTCCTGTTTTGTCAATAACGCTTCCATTTTATTTAAAGCTACCTCTAACTCCTCCTTGATAAATACTAATATTGCTATATCATCTGCAAATCTAAGCAAAATAATATTTTGTCCCTTATATCCATCCCTACAGTTGTACTCTTTAATNTAACAGTCTAGTTTCTAACAATATTGTATTATATATAATATACTGAATACGATTTACATTTCATGCATCAAATGTAAATTTTTAAAGACATTTTTTTATCTATAAGTTTCGGCTGGTCCTATCTCCAACCGTTTTTAAGTCCCGAATTATACGTCTTTGAGCAACTAAACATTGTCTAATAAGAATACTATCAATAATATCACTTACTTGCATGGCACTTTGATGCAGCGCAGAATCACTATTAGTTCTTCGCCAACTGGTGTCAGGTGGAGGACTTAAAAATGGACTTGGACTAGTAGAATACGGAGATGTATCGTGCTTACGGTCTTGAGGTCTGCGAATAGGCCCACCCTGTGATCTAGCTCTACTCTCCCTCAAGCGTCGTTGGTTATTGTGAGGGATATCTTCTTGCTACAAAAAAAGAAACTACCTATTCAAAGTTTATTCAGTAACTACTCTAAAAGTATTCCAGGTAAAGCAAGTATTAAAAATAAGGGGTTTGTCCGTCATTTACTTTGCAATACAAACTAAAAGAACAAAAAATGAGACAAAATTCAAATTATTCCGAGCGACTGAAAACACCCTGTTATAGGTCATAACGTCATCTAATATTATTTGTTTTTTATCTGTTGGTATATCTTCCAGGAATTTAATTAGCAGCACAAACCTTATAAATTTGAAAAGCAAACAATCTTTAGTAACAGTAGCATTGAAAACTAAAGGATACTAATTAGCCAAGGCAAATCGTTAAGGGTAGAATACGCTCATTTGAAAACGTTACAGCAAAACGAAACTGCAGGTGTGCCAACTAAATATTTGTAAAAAGGATTATTGTGTATTAATTTTTAAATATGATTAACAACATTAATCAAGTAACGTCCAACTCAATTACTTGTTCGTAAAACGTTTTATATATTATTCTTCAGTAAATCATCATATTCCATTTATGCATTTAATTGATGTTTTATTCTTATTTTTGTGTTATTTCTAGTTTTATTTTTGTTGGTTTTTTTCTTAAACTCCGACACTGTGCGTATCTCTAGGATAATAATAAATTCATTCTAGCTTTAATACAATAAATAACCATTTTCTAATAAACCACAAAGCAGTCACAGTAAAACAATCAAACGCAAACGAAATGGACCAAAAGGCAGAGATGTATAGTCGAAATAAAATCGTACTACATAACTAGATGACGTCACTACGCTTAGCGCGCATAAAAAGTCATATGAAATGCTTTCGATGCGCGGAAAACTTTAAACATATAAGTTATTATTGACTTTTAAGGAAAAATATTTCTGGAATACTATTGTTAGGCATCACCAAAGATGTAATTGAATAAAAAAAAATGTCAAGTTTCAATTGCGAAAATGCGGTAATACATATAGTTTTAAAATAAGATTATGCCAGAATATTAGTTATGAGTAATGCGGAATAATATTTAATGTCCAATATTTTCAAGTTAGTTACCTATACACAAAAAAACACATGAAAAGAAAATTGCCGTCTGTAAAGAATTTCAAAACATGCAAAAGTTCGGTAACTGAGAATAAGGGGGAAAGCAACAGAAAATGCCACTTATCTATACATCTATAATTATATATATCTAAAAGTAAAGTGTGTCTGTAATGCCGCAATAAATGCATTTTTTAAGCTCATATGGTTATTGGTATGCTATTAAAACACAAATGACCAAATTTTTTTATAGGTTCCTCCGTCTGTTTAACTATCTGCACGGGCTCATCTTCGAAACGTCCTAACCGATTTAGATAAGACATTACATACACGAAGAGGATGTTATCGGGAATAAACTAGACTACTTTTTGTCTTAAGTGTTACGGATGGAAAAATATCTTTGTTAGAATAACTTGTACCTATATATAATATAATATATAATATACGTTCTTCTTCAATCGTACACCGCCGACTAAAATCTTATTATGGTGCCTCTAAACATAGCAACATGGTCCTGTTGTACATAACGGCTTTTACGAAGCAGTTTTAGTTCAGTCGTAGAACAGCCGTAAAATAATAGTCATGTTCTATTACATTTGTTTTAGAAAGATATGTTAAATAAAATTCAAGCCAATTAAGGGTTGGAAGGTTGTTATTTATGAAGAACCAACACCGACATTTCGTCTCTATTTGGGAGACTTTTTCAAGGTAGGTTCTTTAAACAATACAATTATAAATAAAATAATAACTTAAAGTANTCTTGTAGCCAGTGGTTTTTAATTATACTTTAAGTTATTATTTTATTTATATGGAACTTTTCTTACTTGACTAAAAAAACGTCGGTTAGTTCTTCATTACAAAAAAACCTTCCAACCCTTAATTGCCTTGATCATTATTTAATAATATCCAAACTAAGGGATGAAATGGAGAATCAGAAAGATATGTTTTGTTCAAGGCATATCACTTCGTGAGTGTTGCCTTTCCCACCGTAACGCTATGATCCTAGGCTTATCCGTCGAAAAAGAAATTAGTAAAGATAAATAAATTAAAAAAATAAATAATAGGAACTTTAAATTCTTACGTTCCTCTACATTAAAAAAAATAATTGAAGGATTGGATTAAAAGAAATAATAACTAAAATATTATTTCAGAAATAAACAAGTATTTTATTATAAAACAGTAGGCAACTAATAATAATTAGGCACATTTACACTATAGAATTTTAATTTTATTTTCTTGTATTAATCTTCATTTTTACTCATTAGCCCTTTTCTACTCTACAACTTTATAAGAAAAAGCCATTAGTTTACTATATAACTGTCCTACGAAAGAACCAACACCGTTTGCTGGAAATTATTGTGTACAACAGCCCCGTATTGCTGTTTAGTCACCGTATGCAGTCGGATAACAGACTATATCGGTACATCAATGTCCTAATTACGTCATGAACTTTTTACTTTGTTTTTTATTTGTTTATTTATTTTTACAAACTTTTTTGACGGATATGTTTAGCATAGGTTCGTAAATGTTGTCGTTGGCATGTATTTCCTATTAACATAATATAGGTAACATTAAAATTGCATAATCAAGTTACAGGCTGTTCCTAAAAAGAACTGCTGAAGCAAATAATAGTGAATGAAATTAAAAAAAGAGGGAGGGTAAGGCAGACATTTATCTTTATCAGTAACAAATTGAAACATGTAACTGCGCACATACTAAAAAGCTAAATCAAATATAAGTTGTTGAATCCATTCCATTATTGCTATAACATTATTATTTGTGATTTTTTTCTATTAAAAAATGAAATACTTATTCAAAGAACCTTCACAATTAAAGTTTTTTAATTCTTTAACAGCTATATGATTTTCACTATTCATCTAACTACTGATCCATATTTTACATTTACAATTTCAAACAAGAATTGATATTTTTCTTGATTAATAATTCAAAAGCAGGATCATATCATTTGACCCAGCCATCATATTGCAATAATGTGTAAAAGAGAAATATTTATTCTCAGGGACAAAAGAAACCCCTATTGCACCTGATTACACAAATTTAATAAATTTAACTTAAAAAAAAAGCAAAAGCTAAGAAGTAAACTAATAAGAACATTGCATAAATCATCTGATAAAGTAAACCCGTACTATGATTTTACTTTGGGTTCTGATAACTGTAGGTCTGCCACTACAATAGTACAATGACAATTATTTTATTCTAATTCAAGGCTAGTACAAGGTTTTTTTTACTTTATGCATGTTGTGTATGTCAGGTTTAAACAGAAGACACAAAAAACTTCCTAAATAAAAATTTTGCAAGAAGCAAACCTGTATTGTTTTTCTTTCCAACTTATGTTAAAATTATCCATGGATCAAATGATGTGATTCTGTGCTTATACATTGGTATATAATTCTAAAGGATCTCAAATCTAAAATAAAAGCAGCACTAGCTCATAAGTTACATAGACGCAAATAATATACAAGAAGTGCTTTTCAACTTTGGTTACCTAATCAACAACTTTTATTGCATGCCAATATCTATATGTAAGCATTTCAAACATGTTAATTTTTGTAAAATTAACTTCTTTCACCTTTACTTTAGGCATATCTGCATTATGAGAAGTCTTGATTGTAGGGCCCCCTGCAGAAACATTAGGCAGGGAGCCCCCTTGAAATGAGCCCAAGTTCTCGTTGCTGTTCACACCCAACACATACTTTGCATTTCTTTCAGGTTGCACCTAAAAGTTTCTCTATCTGTTAAATTTAATTATCTAAAACGACAAGTAAAATGTAAACATCAGTAGTGCACTATTATAATTTACTGTTAACACCATTAATACCAAACCTACAAAACTATGACACTTCTAATAAAAATAAAGATCTACAATACGAATAAGTTTATTTTACTAAAGTTAAATTATTTATGAACTAAGTGAATTTTTTTTGTATAACGATAATAACAATAAAAATCAAGGTTTTCTTTTATAGCATAACGTGAACGGAAATTAAAAAATTAAGGAAGATAGACAGATACATAACCCATACATTTGTTAATAAAGAACTAATGATCGATTTACATTAAAGATCACACCATTTAATATTGTTTATTATTTTAAGTGTATATGGAAAACATTAAAAAATTGAACTATACAAATACACGCACTAGTTTTCTTAGTTAAAGTAAATTATAACTAAAACTAGAATGACTTGTTCGACGTTGTTTACGTCGTTATCCATATACCTACTTAACAAAACAAAATAATTTACCTACCCTAGCAGTGGCATCAGAAACTTCTTTCATAATTTGTTCAAATCTAGCAGTTTCTTCAGCTTGTCGATGAGTATGCAGAGCTATTTTCTCACTAAATTTCCGTGGATTTGCCATTATTGTCTAAATAGATGTGCTCATATACCAAGTTCTAATCTAACACCGTAAAAAGCAAACAATACAACCATAACCATAATACAAGGCCATGAATACACATATAGTATGTACTATACACATTCACAACTAATATCACAAGTGTAGCTACATTCTATGAGGAACAAATATTATACATTTTATTATTATTATTATAAAACTCGCGCTGTATGTTTTCTATCTTTTCATAAATTCAGCGCAGTTCAGGTTTCATTCAGATGCATTTAACACTCATCGATTCAATTCATGTATACTATTATTACATATATCGATCATGGATCTCCAAAATAACAGTCATCGATGATCAAAACATTAAAGTGAAACATATAAATTTAGTGAACATGTACATATACGTAATTAAAGTAACATATAACCTAGAATTGGTTTAATGATAGAGTGTATTTCCTTCGTTAGTATAATCATTTTTTTTATATCTGATTTTACCGACTATGACGTCATACGGTAACTAATTCAGCAATATAGATCCGGAATCCCTCCATAATTTACTTTTCGAAGTTAAAATTACTCTAATCGCTAGTCCATCGTTTGTAATTGTTTATTATAAAAAATTAAATTCTCGATCTAAATATTAGCAGAAACGTAAACTTTTTTTCTTTTCATTAATCATTTAATGTTGAATATCATTTGTTTAATTATAATTTATGTTTGATCACTAATTTAGAGAGATTTAGTGCATTAAAATTTCTAGCACTGTTGTTAACGTTATCGTATGTACCATATGAAATGTAGAATAAAATAACAATAACGGAATTAATGTAAAATAGGTTTTCGTTCTCCCATCCCCCAAAAATAAAGAATGTTTGAAATGGAAATATTTTTTTAACTTCCTCAAAGTAATTACAAAGACAAATCAGCAACAAAAAAAGGCTGAAAGATGAAAATATACATATTTGCAGCAAGAGTACCTATTTTGCTGACCGCACGCATGGTATGGTTTATCAAAATTTTAGGTTATGATACGCTTTCTTTACATATTACGAATAATACGTAAATTATAGTAAGTAGTCCGCATTCAAACAAAATTTTCTCTCAACCCAAAACAGACTACGGATGAGAGCGGTAATGCATATCACTCTTATCAAACCGTCGCAGAAATTGAAGTCAAAAAAATTGAGTAGGTACTTAGTGGTAGACATTACAGAGTCACAAACTTTGTTTAATGAAATACTTTAATGAAATTGACCAATCTATAATGACAGAAAAAGACCGTGCGATCAATAACTGTCTCTTTTCCTTTTTCTTTACCTCCTTCAAGTGACATAGACCAATGAAAATTTTAGAAAAAAAACAACTACTGGCCGCTCGATCGCTATGTCTTTCCCACACGTTTTTGCCTATCTTTACTTTATATGGTACGATCATCAAATAACAGACAATAATAAATAAAATCGAGCTTGAGCGTTGCGGAGAGCGCAAAGCAAACGGGTGTAAAAATCAATAGCGTTTCGTTAAACGAGGCAAACAACAAACAACAAATAGAGAACAAAGAGGCACTAGTTTAATTATGAGTATTTGTATATAACCTAAACGGTTCATAGTGATAATAGTCTGATACTATTTATTTATAACTGACTGTTATTTCATGAACGCACTATACTATAGCTACATAGGGAATGCGTGGTCCATTCTCTGTATCTATGATTTTTTGCATTTCTTGTTGAAATGTCAATTTAAATATTTTCAAATTAATACCTATGGAAATTATAATCTATGGGTGTTTTGTCATATTTTAACAGTCGTGTGAATTTGACACCTGACATAAATAATCCACTGATTTGAATTTTATCAGTAAATTGTGCGTTGTTTGCGGGCTCTAAATATGGAAGTATAAAAATTGCACGTTCATTAGTTCTGTTAAAAAAAAAAAAGGAAAATTGTTTCGTGTGCAGGTGGAAATTAAATGAGAATTTATTCAAAAACTACTGAGGATATGATAATTTAATTGACAATTAATTGCGTGTCATTTGTGCCTGAAGATTGAACTATTATGGAAAGCGAAGTTTATTTTTATATTANTATTAATGAAAAATATTAGTATATAAAAATAAATTCGGCGATTTTGACAATACTAGTGACATCTAAGTTTACCCCACATTAGTAGACGCTACTTGGAATATATATATAAATGGTACTGGCAAAGAAAACTTCGAATGTTCATTGCCATCTATATATAAAATTATGAAGCGTAACTTAAGGCGCGCATTTACACCAAATTTTAATTTATTTTTGTATTAATTGGAAATTGAAAAAAAAACAAAAATAATATTAACAAAGTATTAATGCAGTAACAAATACAATTAGCACAATATACGAGTAAATAGCAAACATCAATTAATTAAAATAATAGATACTAAGACAGGTATATTTGTATGAACAAATAAATTGTTCTTTACCTAATTTAGTACTGCTTCCTGTTTCTACAGGGGGTGCTAACGTTTCAGAAACTGCAGAAATACTAGCTTCCGTATTGTCCATTGTGAGTGTATTTTCTATAACAAATAATTATATATGTTTTGGATATTTGAAACTGTTATCTGCATAACTACCTGCAGTTGAAACAATTCTTCTTTTCCCGTCATATGTTTTCACTGGATGCAGTACTTTTTCATCTTTTAATGGGGCAATTCCGTCTGCTTCTATTCCTCTACCAGAAGAAGTTCTACAAAACATTTTTTTTTAAAACTTAGTTTCACAACAACAAATTACAATACCTGCCACTTTCGTTGGAACCGCTGTTACTTCAGGAAAATGGAAAGCGGCATCTTGACCTTTAACTCCTGCAGGAACTGTATAATCTACGTAGAACATTTCAAATTAATTTGACCCCGTAATAGTGTAGACTGTACATCACGGTTTTTCTGTGTTGGGCAGAAAACATCCTTTCTTTACTTATTGTAAAGCATGATTGAAGTACTTAATATATTACTTACTTTCAGGATAGGTAAAAGTACTTTTCACAAAAATTTTAAAATATTACAAGTTGTGAAACTACTCACTATTGCTCAATAACGCCACAACTACTGGGGAATTCCTCCGATAATCGCAACCGCCGTCGCATCATCTGTTGTCGTTTCAGTAAAATGTATGTCGCCTA